CAATTAAGAGAACTAGAATCAACATTGAAATGACCACTTAAATAATCCTATTAATTTATATATGTTTTTTCTTTTTTTGGTTTGACATAACGAATAAATAGAAATGTATCTCAATAAGAAAAGAATTGACAGAATTTAAACTTTAGAAAAGGTTTCATAGGTTTATCATTAGCAGGAACAGACCACACAGAATCTTATATCAATCAACAAGATGAGTAAATACCTGTACGTAAATAAGCCCCCGCTCATAGGCCAATCGATTCACGAGCCTATCTGTTCTTTCACCGCACAAATCACAAGTAAATTTTACAAGCAAGCTTCTTCTTGGGATTTTTATATCAATAGTAGCATCCTTTTGTGGAGAGCATGCAGGAAACAGAACCGAGTTAAAGAAGAAAGTAAAGACATTCAAGCAACAGCAAAATACACACACATTGAAATGATAACATATGTCACATTGGCCTCAAAACTTTCTGAGCATTTTTATTTAATCCTACCAATGCAATTATCTATTCACAAATAATTTAGAACCAAATCTTGAAATCAGACCAAAAGTAATACCCTTTTTTCGGATAAATTACCACAAGCAATAGTAAATCAACGACATAAAAAAAAGACAACGAATTTATAAAGTAGAATCACATCATTATTATACCGTATTCGGAATGTTCTGTTCCAATTCTCCGTCTGTTTCAAAATTGCCATTCAACAGTCCAGAAACAGCCAGTACCTTATAGGCACGCTTTGGCGCTACAGCGGTCGTATGGGAAATTCTTGAGCTGAAACCAAAGTTTTAAAGAGTTATAGATTGGCATAAAAGTTTTATAGTCGAAGAAAGAAGAAAAATTGAAAGGAACCCAGATAAGGAAACTCACCAGAGAGGGTTTTGTGCTTGGGTTAAGGACCTGGAGAGGCCGATGACAGGGTTAGTCTTGGAAGAAGAAATGGGTCTGAAAAAGTTGGGATGAAGAAGGGCTTTACTGGTTTTATGAGAATTAGTTATTGGAGACGAGAGAGAAGGAAGGGCTGGAGATAAACCCCAGGCAGTTGGTGTTGCCGCCATGGGTGTGACTCTGTATACTGCCGTTGCAAGAATGAATTGGGTTTTGGAGCTCTGTATTATTTTCAATTTTTGAGAATCAATTGGGGGTTTTTGCGACGTGTTATGTGGCAAATGCTGCTGAGTGGCAAAAGCTGGTGAGTTGGGCCGCCAACGGTCCAATTTATGAACTTTTTCGAAACCCAAAATTTGAGATTATCCAAATTACCCCTAACCTTATACCATACCACATTAGGATTTTACTTTGAATATTGAAACCCTAAAACTCACAAATTAAGGAAAGACAACAAACGATTTTGTTGGCGATGATATAATTCAATATTCAATTTTAGCAATGAGTGAACTCAACTCAACTCAACTCAACTGTACACTAATAATGTATTTGCAATTTGCATAATTTTCTTTTCATTGATGAAGGAGATTGTTGTATACAAGTATGAACAAATGTTCCCCAAAATCCACCGAACAAAAAGAGATTACAGTTGATGTCTTGTTTGTTATATCAACTTGAAGGAGCTCAACAAGGTTCCTCTTGGATACATTTGTTCTAAAAAGGCCTAAATCACCAATGACCACCCCGCATCAAATTTTATATGCAACTGTTGCCAATGGGGCATCAGTCTTCGTCATCCACTTCATGGAAAGGCAGTGGCACGGTTTTAACTGCTCTAAACTTGCCTGCATTATTTAGATGCTCATTCTCCAACCTGGACCATTTGGAACAAATTGTTCTTTAGGTTAGAGCTATTGCACTTGAAAATGAAAAGGGTTTTTTTTAATTTCAGTTTCATGTCAAGTTCTGCTTCTATATGGCTGCACATGTAGACTGATATAAGAATAAGAATCATGAGATTTGAGTACCTGTAAAAGTTCCACAGCCCTCTTCTTATGACTTCAAGGGCTGCTAAAAATAACCCAGTTACCCTGTAGTCCACATGTCCAAAACTTGAATGGAGAACAGTTTGCAACCAAGCTAGCCTGAGAATAAAGTTCAATCCCTGCATATCCAAAATATTGGTCAACATTAGATTTTCACACTGTCAAATTGACAAGACCTAAACTGTAACCTAGAAACAAAACAGAACATTTGCTTCTGTGATGTGTGCATAGCCTCAGACAACATCTAATTCTTTGCTGGCATATTGTCTTCTGTGAATTAGAGTGGGAATCTGATCTGCTCTTATAATGGCATTATCAGTATTTTGTTTGGAGAATATGTCCATCCAATTTATGATCATATCTATCTTGACCATTTGCTAGATGCTAATATCAATCAAGTAGTTGGATAATTGGTTTCTAATTCTGTCAGAGACTAGCTTTGGGTGCCAATTGTATGCCAATGGCCCGTAGACTCTTGAAAGTTTCCTGAAGTGAAAAGTAGAGAGGGAGGGCCATGACATATACCATTGAGATGTAGTAAATGATCTTTCTGCGAAGCATTAATTCATTCCTAAGCAAAGGATTCTTGGAATTCATTTGTAGCAAACCCCAATCCTTTACAAAGTCCCAATACAATTGGTACACTGTTGCAAAAGTCGACATGATCACAAGAAGACAGAGCCATCCAATGTTCCTTTCTTTCTCATAAGCTACTTTAGCTCCTGCTGCTAACATTGCTGAAACATACTTGCCTAGATTGACAAGGTGGCTTGTCTGTCCCTCATCGAACCACCGCCTAGCACACTGTAAACCGAATTAAGCAAAAATCTTGGTCATAAATGTTTTAAGTTAGTTGAAGAAAAAACACAATAAAGATCAAAGCAAAGAAAAATATAGAGTAGTAGTTTACCTGCATTGCTCTCCAGTAATAGGGCAGAAAGGACACAGCATAAGCAAGATCTCGGTAATTCTTGACCCTCATGCAATAGTCATAGTCCTGAGTCTTGTAGCTCCCAGTTATGTAGTAACATGCCACATACTCAAGGTTCCTAAGCATCGGAACCTGTTGAATAGAATGAATATGTTGTTATGATAAATCAGAAAAGATTATGATTTAAGAACTCCAGTAAACAATAGTTCGAATTTTTTATTCGCTCAAGGAAAAAAGGAAAGAGTAATTCTTAAGTGCTCATCAATACCTGACTACAAAGTTGATCTGCCATGAAGAAGTCCAGCATGACAACCTGCAGATAGCAAACACAAATAAATTAGAAATATGATTTGATTGGCCTAATATGTTTTCAGCTATTAATTGGATGTTGGAGATATGCAGTACCTTGTACAGAGGTGACAAAATGATATTTCTTATCACACGAAGAAGACGGAAACGGCTTGATTGGTAAATGATATTGAAGGGGCACACAAGTAATAGGAGAAACATCTGCACATTCAGGAGAAAGTTAAATACCTGGTGACTAATTATTCTAAAATGTAGGCATACGTAAGAAAGATTAACAGGTATGCAATTTCTAATTATTATGTCATGAGTTCAAGTAATTACCAATAAAAGCAGACCAGGGATTGCTTGAACTTGGTTGTGTGAATAACCTTTTGTTAGCAATGACAAATGAACAAACATGACCCCCACTACAACAGTCAATGAGGTGGTGCAGATCAAGAACACATCTCTGTACTTTAGCTCCTTTGTTGGGGACAGTTCAAAGATGAAACTATAATTTATACGAGCCTTTCTCCATGCAAAAATGTTGCAACCATATAGGAAGAAGTGTAGAAACAGAAGGCTGAACATGCTGCAAAAAAGAAAAAATGTTTGTTTTTTTAGCCTACTTGTTTACATCTTGCGTCTTTAAGACTTGTTCAGGTATGGCACTAAAGAAATGAATAGCTGCAACACTTGCCTAAGTACAGGGTAGGCAGTTTCCATGTAGACTGATTTTGGCTGCCGTCTGTAGAACCCCATAATATGAGCCATAATGACATATCCGGCAAAGAGCGCGATAAAACACCCGGTAAATAAACCTGATGATTATAACCGAAGAAGATAAAATCACTTGTTATGCAATATGTTGCAGTTAAAATCAGATGCAGCAAATTGCTCAAATTAGAATCTGTGTCATGGTTCAATGTGTAGTCAATTAAGGTAAAGGGAACATCCTTATCAGCTTCACATGTCATGTATGAGCAGAAGGGTTAGAATCCTTATGCTACATATCTTTTAAGTTCCACACTTGTTTTCTGCTAGGCGAGAATGAAAGACCCCGCTACCAAATTTACCACTTGATGATATGATATTTACTTCATAGATGTGTGCAGGGCATAGTAATTAGACCAACATGGGTACTTAGCAGTGTACATGCTCTTCTAGTTTGGCACCGCACTGAGGAAACAAAATATTGCTGCCCTCTAGGAGTTGATGGCCCTTTTAGGGTTCTACCTTTGTACAATAAAAAATTGTCCCAAAGATAACAGTGACATAGCATGGGACCTGTGCTTTATTGCCCACCCAGGAAAGGTGAACTAGGCACAGCCTTGTGTTTCAAAGCTTAGTGGCCTAATGGGTCCTTTCTTTGGTTTCTTAAATCTTGTACGGCCCCAAAATGAACAAACTTTAAGCTCCCCAGCAAAAGTTGTGTAAAGGAAAACCACTTGCGTACTTTAATTTATGATTAAAATAATGTTCATCATTCCCAGTTTGTTGTAAACTGGCATGGACTTACCAATGAAGAATGTTACTGAGTGCGATTCTTTACACTGGGTCGGTTTCAGGTATTTCATGGCCTTTCTTCTGTCTTCTTCAGCAAAGTGTTTGATAAATAGTTCCTCAACTTCATCTGCTAAATTCATCACCTGTCATTTTTGAAACTTATAAGCATAATACTATTGGCTGCTAAAGTTACTTTAATTTCTAGTTCATGTGTCAGACTCAGACAAGCATATCTGAGTTTGATAATATGAGTCTAATGGCATCCATTGTGCAGTCATGAACTATAAGAATCAATGGCCACTTGACATTGTCGGCAAATATTTGGATGAAATGATAGTTGGTGGCCAACATTTGAACATGATCCAATCATAACATCATGCAAAATTGTTCTTTACTTAACATAGCTAGAGCATGATAGGAATTAGATTTTTTACTTGGTGGGTCTAAAACTTGGATCAGTCAAATACCTTATCCGAGCTGTTGAAATAGGAACTCTCAACCACTTTTAGGTAAATGGGAAGAACTTGTTTTCCAGTGACCTGAAAAAGAAAAGAAAAATCATTTTAATTACATACGCAAAACAAAAATCCAAAGTTTAAAAGAAGCTATAAAGTCACTCATTTTACTTACCTTGTCGAACTTCTTTAAAATCTTTATAAAAGCAAGCATGTTCAAGTTCCTGCAAATCATTAGTGTTGTGGACAACACGTAAGCTTCTCTGCCTCATCAAACTCCAATACGTAATAACTTCGAAATTGTTTATCTTTTGAAGTTAAGAAACAAAAAAAAGTTATACATCTAAAACCTTTGAGGGTGATTGATACCTGTATGTTTTGAGATATCCCAAACCCTTATAGAGCTCAACAAAAGCTCCTCTGATCATTTTGTCCGCATGATGCAACTTTTTTTTGTTGATATGCAGCTTGCTGCCTTCTGCACTGCATTTCTTTGAGGACTGATTAACCAGATCTTCCCAGACCAAGTAACTGATTGCTGAGAAGGTACGCGATGGGGTTGTGAGAGGAATGTTTATCTTCAAGTTCTTCCCTTGGCAACTGAAAGAACGACTTGACATGGTTCTCAGTTTCCCAATATCTTCACTTTTCGTTCTCATTGATTTTCCCAATTCACCTGATACTGACCCTTCTGAATGTGGCACTTCATTTTTCTCCAAGTCCTCTGTGCTGATGTCTTGCAGCTCCTGTTCATGCTCTGTTTTGTCCTTAACAGAGTCGTCCTCTGTATCCAAGAAAAGATTTTTTTTTTTTAAAGTTTTTTTTAATGAGAAACAGATCATCAATTTTTGGTTCCATCAGTTTGGTCCAAAAAACTAACAACAAATTACTCTACTGCTACTCTAAGTGAAGATTTTGGTACTTGGCCTCAGACATTTTGTTTTAGTACTGAATTAAAGCAAACTAGAAAAAATAAATATGCCAAAAAGTATAAGTAACATATGTAGTATGCATGCATGAACTCAACTATGGAAGCATATGCAGAGCTTGCTCATTGTGATTGAAAATTAAGACAAATTTGAATATATACCAGATGAGAAGGAGCATGATATAGAGGCATCCTCCTTGGAATCCACTGCAGACGCTCCTTTGCCGCGCTGCAGCTTGAAAGCAGTTTTGAGCTGAATGAGTATATCCATCTGCTTCCTCAAGGACTCTCCTCTCTCCATGAACTCTTTCTCCTTTGTTCTGAAAAACTGGTTCACCTTGTTGAGCTGGAGGTCCAAGCGTGCAAAAAACTCTTTTGCAGCATCAGTGTCAGCAAACTGCTCTAGCAGCTCAGTTTCATACATGTCTCCCTTACTTGCTGATGAGGCAAGCTTCTTATGCACCTGGTACATACAAGTCACACATTAATTAACAAATAATGAAATACTTATTTAAAATTTAACAGAAATAAAAAATGAACATACATGAATGAGGTCATGTTCTCTATGTTGATGGCCAAATGGAGAGAACTTCCTTATAGATGTGAAGAGGGTATTGGACAAAGAGGTATTTTGGTGCTTAGAAGTTGTTGTGTTGTTGTTGTTGATGTTAGTGTTAAGGAGATGGATTTTTTTGAGGTCCTTCTTGAGTTGGCAGTAATCTACAAATGCATCTTTCCATTCAGGGACCAGCTGCCCTTCAAATTGCTTAGAGAACTTCACCATTTTCTCTCCTTGCGTGCTGTTGAGTTGTGATGAGAGAAAAGGAAGAGGTACTGCTGCTGCTGCTCCTTGTGAGTGTTCAAAGGAAGGCCTTGGTGGCATTATTTATGGAGTTGGAAAAGGAAGGAACTTAGATTGATGTGCTTCGTACTGATGCTCAACAATAGCACATTCTAAAATATCCTGTGCACTTGTACCATCATCCTATGCTTCCCCCACTTGGAAAGGTATAGTGGCCAGCTTCGCCGGAAAGTTACCAAAAACCACCACCGGATTCTCTCTCTCTCTCTCTCTCTCTCTCTCTCTCTCTCAGCCAATTTGTGCTCATGAAGATTTTGAAAGGGTGGGAATTTAAAGTGGTAAGGAGGTGGGACCAAATCCAATTCAAAAATATATGAAAAGGAATGGCCTCTTAGGAGGGTATAATTTGTCATTTAGGAAAATCAGCAAAGTTTGTTCCTTTTTCTTGGTGAGAGATTATGTAGTATATTTGCCTCCTAGTTTACCACCAAACCCTTTGTTCCACAACTAGTATGCATGTAATCAAAGGGTACTTTAGACACTTGGAAGTTGGAGGCAGTGCCCCATAAGTAAAAGTCAAGAGCTGCTTATTTGTGAGATTGAAGCTTATTGGCCAAATTATTTACAAGCACACCAAGATCACCTCCAATTAGACCAGCCTGATTTCCACTAATTGAAGATAATTAAAAGCTTCAATTATTTTTCCTACCTTTCATTAGCCAATCTATACTTTTGTTTGCAGTATGAAAAGTAGAGATGGATCATATTAAATTAATATATGATGGTGCTGCATTAATTAGGCTCATACAAGATCACCAGGATCATAAAAATTAGTTCATTAATACAACAGTAAAACTTTGCAAAAACTAGCTACCTCTTAAATATTCTCGTTTTTCACAAATAAGCATATTCTAACATGACATTTTATGATTTAAAAAACCTTCGAGTTCAATATTTTAGAAAAACTTCATGCTGTACTCTCAAGTGAAAAAATTGTAACACACGAAAAACCAATTATGTAGATCAACCAACCTACATCTGCATATATGCTTATTGTACTATATATTCCACATAGAAAGGTGTTTTGGATATCATTATTTCCATCAGATCCATATAAAAAGAATAGTGTGACATAATATATATTATTTAAATAAGGCTAATTTCTAGTAGCCCTAGCTAGTCGGGCAATCGTGGTGCTCGTATGGTGAGAGGTTCTTGCATATATGATATATGTTGTTCTATTCCTTTGTTCTAAATCCACTCCATTTTGCCCAACTTGTCAACATGATCAGACCTTCCCACCAAAACTACACAACAAAAAATTATAAAAAATAAATTTTTTGTTTTATAAAAAAATAATAATAATAAAGAAGAAGAAAAGAAAGAAAGATCCGCAGCCGTTGCTGTGTTTTGGGGCCCTAGCTAGCTATTATGTTTTGTCATTTTTCTTCCAAGAAATGGACAACATCAACATTATAATTGTGGAAAATTGACAGCGTGACTAAGAAAAGATACCCCCTCTTATTTATTTTTTTTCCTACATCCGTACAGTCACAGTCACACTTCCTTTTTTTCTTGTCTTACGCAGAAACCAATATAAGTTTTGTTTTTTTTTTTTTTTCTACTGCAGCTGATCTCAAAAATGATAAAGAAAGAACACATTAATATTCTTTCGTAGCCCAAAAAAAAAAAAAAAAAAAAAAGAGAGAGAGAGAGAGAGAGAAAAATGTGCCTAATTCAGATTGAAAATTTGACAATATAATATGCTATACTGCGCAAAAGAATATTACCCTATGTATAACAGCTTTATTTTAGAACCTAGACATTGGTTAGGTACATATATTTCAGTTAAAGGGAGATGGAGAGGGAAAAAAGGAGAGCCATGAAATGTAAGGGTTTATTAGGGCATATAGTACAGAGCCAATGACAGGGCATGGAAATGATGATCTGATTCGGATTGCACATTTGGGTGCTCCCTTGCAGAGCGACCCAACCCATCTCCATTTCCTTTCCTTCCTTCATTAATTACATTATCATCTTTCTCCTCTGCGCGGCTATAATTTCCAAAAGATAAAAAGGAAAAACAGAAGAAGAAGAAAAAAAAAGAATAAAATAGAATTTTGACCCCACATATTCCTATATGATCAATCATAAGGATCATGAATATGGTCAATGCAATTTGGATTTTTTACTTTTTATCTTTTTATGAGAGTGCTGTTAATTTTTCTTTAATCAAGCAAAGCATTTGCCCATTTGTCATTATACTCTTTTTCTTTTTTTCTTTTTTTTTCTTTTTATAAAATATACTAGAAAGCTTAAACGTGGGTATTAGTCACTTTTAAATTTATTGGTTCTGCTATACCTTCGTGGTTTTAAAATTTGGCCCTAGTTGTGACTCCTGATTAAGAGTTCTAATTGCGAGATATTAATCAGTATTTATAAGTTTAAAGAAGTGCTCTATTAATGAAGTTATAAGTCCGTTACGAAATTTAATGAGTAATTTATATACTGATATTTGCTTTTATACCTTAACTCAACCTCCGGACATGTGTTGTTAAAATCCTCATGGACCAAAGCGTTTTTGACCATTGCTCGAAAAGGCAACATCTTTAGAAGATCCGTCGTATGTCAATTCAGAGTGAAATATGATGGCTTTGATGGATGAAGTAATATTTCAACACTAGCTGTTAGGACCAATTTTTGGTATATTGGCAATTTCCTGTTACAAAAACATAGAGTAGGTCTTTGAGTGTAACCTACAGTTTTCAAGTGACATTCTGCTATCCTGGATCAGTGTGGCTTAGAGACAATGCTAGGGTATGTCTCGCATCCATGCATTCATATTTGCATGATCATCAAAAGCGACTGTCTGATTATAAGACTGATATATGATTTCAGCCTTACATAATCTAGCGCCAGACATCAGTGAGTTTTTAACGATGGTTTTATATTCTTTAGTTTGGTACTTATTTAAGCAAAATGGTTCTTTTGTCTTTACAGCGGGGTTTTTAATTAAGTGGCTTTATTTGTTTTAAAGAAATAATTTATTTATTAAAAAGCCAATTTTTGCAAAAAGCCTTTTTTGGTCTCTGACCTAGTTTTAAGCATGTAATACGAGAAATAACTTAGCCGTTTTGATTTGTGGGTCTGCAATGTTGAAAAGAGAAAGAATGACAAAATATTTGCAGAGAGGTTTTTGAGAGTTTATATTGAAAACTCATGTGGTTGTTCCTTGTTAGCCTCCATAAGTGATTAAATAATCTTCTTTTCATATGTGTGTGAGTTCATGAGCATTATGCATGTTGGTGATCAACAACCGTGCCTTGAGGTGTGAGCAGCCGAGACCAGAATTGTGCCATCTCTTGTTGACGAAGGAAGACAAGATCGCTGGTTGGGTTGAGTAGCAAAGGCGAGTAGGCAAGTCTGCCTTGTGAGCGTTAGTCTTGTGAGTTGAGACTTGTAAGACCTTTTTGTATTCTTTCTCATAGTGATTTGTTCTCCGGCATAGTGCCCGCAGTTGTTTTCCTCATCTTGAGGTTTTTTACTGCGTCAACATATCGTGTGTCCCTTGTGCAATTGTTTGCATTTTTATTTGAATTTATTCTGCTGCGTATTCTGGAATTTTTGCTTACAAGATTGTTACAGTATTTCAATCATGCTGTGGTGTTTGAGTATTAAGAAACAGATCAGTTGGCCATTCTAGGGAATTTCACTAGCTCCATGTCTCTGAATAATGCTTGCACAAGCTTTGAGCTCATCAAAATCCATGTCGTAGATAAAAAAAATGCTTCCCATATTCGAGAATGAGATGCCTCTCTTCAATTATACAAAACCTTTAGACGTATAATTTGTCCTAATACGTCATGTAACAAAAGACAAAATAAATTATGACTTTCAAGTATAATTTGTGAAGATGATTCTAGGCATACGATTCTTAGTTATGCGGCACTCTGAACAAATGCCCTGAAAAATTAGCCAGGTTAAATAAGAATATCCCCAATTTAGTAATAAAAAAATTCCCATGGTGCCTGTCATTTGTTATTGCTTGAAAACCCATCTCATCCATCCATTATCACTTTAAGCGGCAGAGGTTGATGATTCAGTGAGAGCATATACTTGAATGACTACCAATAGTGGTCCTATCCTTTGCAGAGGGCCATAATTGCTACATTAAAACATACCCACCATGGATTTTTGCTTAGTATATGCTCTCTACTTTGCATCTTTACATATGCATTATCATCCCTTGGCTTTGAAATGGGAGGTAACAGATTTTGATTCTCCTCCAAACGTGCTAATTGAGAACCATTTGATTTTTCTCTGGTCTTCAGGGGATCATGGAAAGTTTGATATGGATGTATGTGAGATATCATGTAACTGAATGAGTGAGACTGCCGGTACCCTATGCCGGGGTTTTTTTTAATACTAAATTAATCCTGTTTATTTATATGTATTATAATTAATATGCACTTAAACATAAATAAATCTAGTGTTAAGTAAGCTTAGTAGTTACTGGTTGCTTGGAAACTGACTAGGATTATATTCTCATCTTGAGATCAGGATCATTATCTTCCAGAGTATTGGAAAGGAAGGATAATGAATTAGTACCCTATGTCTCCCAAGTTTTTAAATTGGCACATCTATGGATTATACTTGTATTTAAAGTTTATCCTAGGAAATTTTATTTTAAAAAAGGCATATGCTGATACGTAGGAAGTACAGTGACTGGTTTTTCTAGCTTTTTTATTATCATTTTAAGACACAGATATTGGGAAGCAGCTAGTTATTATTCTTTTTCTTTCTTTTCTTTCTCCATCTTCATTGGTATCAATGGTATGTGTCTTGTCTACAAGAAATTCATATGTAAAATATTAGGGGAATAGAGAGACAGGAACAAAATTAATCAGTACTGGTACATGTACTAAGATTTTGAGAATCAGAATAACTTTTTTAAGATTTTGAGATTGAGTATGAAGATTAATAATTTTTTTTTCTTCGCAGAAGTTTAAATTTTATGATCGATTTTTTCATGCCAATTGGGAGAAGTTAAATGGTAAAAATTATTCTATCGCCTTTTAAA